TCCGTTACAAATCCGTACATATGCATCCTTATGGAAATCGGTAGTTTGGCGATTGGCGACGCGCGCGACATCTGTGCTGCGACTGTAGCGTCACCTGGTGGCTGCTTTTCTGCTGTATGTAGGCATTGGGGGTTTGCCAGATGTGATTCCTACTGCTACACCACTATGTTGTCCCAATACTAGAAAAGTTATTTTGGTAGTAATAGGCAAGCAAATTGAAAGTTGATTTAAAAAATTGCTCTCAAATGATTACGAGATAATAACAAAGAAATTTTGATTGAATAATTATTTAGATAATCAACCGTGAAACTATATTCTGGTAGGTTTAGTAGAAATAAGTCCGTGCAACCTTGTATTTAGGGCCTTGCGCCACAGCATGTAGCACCGTTCCGTGCTTCTATCCTCAGGATACTGAAATCCTTCTCCTCCACGCCGCAACCAGGCGCGTAACCACCACTTGGGACACTGGGGACCGGTCCCCAGTAACTTTTGGGTTACTGGGGACGTCCCCAGTGAAACCGACGACCTCTTCAATTTGCTTTAACCCTCGCACGACCAGGCCATTTCTCATAACACGAACGACCAGGGGGGGGGGGGGTTGTTACGACCCCCCCCCCCTGGCGTTTCGAAACGGAAGGTCGTAGAGCTTAGCGGAAAAAACCAACGGATTGCTCTCAACGAGATCTCGCGATTGGTGGTATATTTTTTGGTCCTAGGTCAACATTTGACCTACTTTTGACCGGTCAAAGGTCAAATTTTCGGAAAAATAGACTTTTTTCAACTTTCGGCGGCGATTGCGGCAAAACGGTGGGAGATATCGACTTGAAACCTTCACTATCGTGTTCCTTGATCAATTCTCTATCGTTTGGTATGTATTTCGTTTCCCTAGCTCTAAAAATGGCGCGTTGGGAGCGCCGGAAGTCGGCAAGGTCACAGTCGGCGGCAGAAATTCGAAAAATCAAAATTTACATTTTTGAAATCTGATTGCATTTTTGGATTTGGGAGGTCCATTTGCTCCCTATAGAAGCTAATATTGCTGCATATTCCCATTGAGGTGACAAGAATTAGCAAAATAGTGGTTCGGGCGCTTTTCAAAAATAGTACCGGACGCTGTTCCTCTTGTGACGTCATAGCTCCGTGACCTGACCTGACCCGGTCAAATTTCTTATACCATATGATAGCCAATACTTGCCCCAACATGCATGGGAAGTTTCATCACGATCCATCAACCGATGTCCGTACCACCGGCAGGAAACCTCGGGCGTTGGCACTCAGTTTGTGAAAATCCGGCTGGAGGCTGTACCTCTTATGACGTCATAACTCCGTGACCTGACATGACCCGATCAATTTTTTTCGGCAAAAGATGCGCAAAGGTTGCCCCATAGGGTATTGAAAATTTCAGCCCGCTACGACAAGCCGTTTAGCGTGCACTTCGAAAAAACCTCAGGGGGGGGGGGGGTTGATACAACCCCCCCCCCCCTAGGCGTTCTAGGGTTAATAGCCAAATATTGTCTCTAAACAGTAGCGGCGGAACACCTTCAATTAAGGGGGGGGGGCACTGCCGACTTTTGGTCCCATTCTTTCCATGCAACGCCCATAGGGCTAATGTTAACCCGCGCCCTGCTGGGGGTCCTGGATTTCCACGCCCTGCTGGGGGGGGGGGGGTGTTTGAACACCCCCCCCCTTGTAACTCGGCTCCTGGGCCACGTAGCGATACGCGGAAGGCGGCGTTCGAAAGAGCGTAAAAAATAATGACGAAATCACTTCTGTCAATTTTTTGGTCAGGTCAAAGGTCAGGTCACCAGAGGTCATTGAAGGCAAAATTTCGCCGATTTCCAGGTCGAATGTCGAAAATTTCCAAGAAGCCAACGCATAACTCGGGAACCAATAGAGCTATAGCGCCGCGGAAAAGCGCATTCGATAGCCCTATTAACGCCCTTTCTGAGTAATTCTCTCAGATTTGACCTAAGGTCAACGGTTTTGCCTGCAGGGGGCAAAAACTGCAAAAATAGCCGATTTTTTCGAAAACAGTTTTTCTGCAATAACTTTTGACCCAAGCCTTGTACGAGCTTACTTTTACCGGCATCGTGTTCCTCTCGTCAAGACGCATCGAATGAATTATGACTTGACCTTTAAAGGTCAACTTGAAAATTTGACCTCAGGTCAAGGTCATGACCTGACCGGAAAGGGTCATGTTGCATATCAGTCGATCCGTATCGTCGAGCTGAACACATCTAAGGCGTTTTCATCGCTCTAGCATGCCTCTATCAAAAGTTATTTGCGAAAAAACTGTTAGATACCATTCGTGACCTAAGATGACCTCAGGGCATAAACAAGGGTCACGGACACCATTTTCAAGTTCAGTGTGTCTAAGCCACTTGTAATTCGGTGTTTGGGAGTGTTTATAATGTCTTTCATCCAAAAGAGGCGCATTTCAATTTTCTCCCATTGACTTATAATGGGGAGGTCGCAAAATTGACCTGACCTTAGGTCATCGATATCAGAATTCTGAGATATACATTTTGTACATGCTATTGCTCTTAGCAATCGCTGAAAGTTTCAAAGCGATCGGTCACTCGGTGTAGCTATGACAGACATTGAAAATTTTTATGAGGTGAGGTCACTTCAAGTGACCTGGTGACCTGACCTTGAATGACCTTGGTCTGAAATTTTCACAACATGTGTAGAATTGATGTATGATAAGGTGTACCAAAAACGGCGGCGCTCCGCGCCGCCGTTTTTGAGATATTCGCGAAAAACCACAAGGGGGGGGGGGTGTTCAAACACCCCCCCAGCAGGGCGCGGGTTAAATTGCCAAAATCAAAGGGGGGCAAGGTGCCCCGGTGCCCTTCCCGTTCCGCCGCCTATGTCTCTAAATCGACGTGAAGAGTAATATGTAGTCAACGGAAGACAAAACTATGGGTGTTTTGTTTAGCCAGCGCCCGGGTGGGCCTCTCAGCCAACTTCGCCATGGTGGGTGGGGGTATGGGGGCTTTTTGGCCACACCATATTATCTCGGAAAGTAAGCAAGCTGTAAAGACGCTGTAAAAAGCAACAGACAGCTCGGTACAGTATCTTTCAGAATTACCTATGCATGCCATTTTTGATCAGGTCATCGCTAAGGTCACTGGAGGTCACCAAAGGTTATTTCACGAACTTTTGTTCCCAATTTTCACAGCTTTTCACAAATCGGCGTATAAGAGGAACCAATAAAGCTGCAATGCTGCGGGAAAGAGCATCCGATAGCTCTTTCGAAGGCCTTTCTGAGTAATGTTCTCAGATTTGACCTAAGGTCAACGGTTTAGCTTCCAGGTTGGCGTTTTTGCCGAAAAGGTTTTTGTATCATAACTTTTGACTCAAAACTTGTGTGACGCTGATTTTACGGGCATCGCGTTTGTCTCGTCGAGACGCGTCGAATGAAGTATAAGTTGACCTGAAAAGGTCAACTTGAAAATTTTAACCCCTGATCAAGGTCACGGAAAAGGTCAAGTTGCATGTCATTCGATTGGTATTGTTGAGCTGAAGACATTCATGATATTGTCAGCGCTCTAGCATGTTTCTACCTAAAGTTATGGTAAAACTGTTGGAGATGTTTCATGACCTGAGATGACCTCAGGGGCATAGAAGGGGTCACAGGTGCAATTTTCCGGTTCAGTGTGTCATGTTTACCTGTGTCACGGTGTGTGAATGTGTTTTTGGCCAAAAGAAGAGCATTTCAAATTTCAATGTTCTCCCAATGACTTATACCTGATGGAGAGGTCGCAAAATTGACCTGACATTAGCTCACCGATGTGAAAACTTTGAGATATACGACTTGTTCACACTGATTTCCTCATGCAAAAGCTCGAGTTTCAAACTTCTGGGATGTAAACTGTAGGAATGACAGAGTCACAAAGTTTTTTAGAAGCATGGTTACTTTACTTGACCTGGTGATCTGACCCTAGGTGACCTGGGGCCAAAGTTTTCACGCACGATGCGGGTATCCTAAGCTATACCAAGTTTCGCGGCGGTCCACGCCGCGGTTTTCCTTACACGCGCAAAAAAAAACTGGCTGGTGTGGCCAAAAACGCCCCCCACTCTCCCCCCCCCCACTCGGGCGAAGGCTGATCCTGAAATATAATATTTGGTCTTCGCGGCCCTCTATGTGGTCCCCAGTGACTTCAGGCTCGTGGTTACGCGCCTGGCCGCAACCCCCCTCCGAGCTGGACAGGCAACTTTATCTCATGCGGGCTGCTCCCTTGGAGCGGCACCGTTGCTCCTGAGGGGGCGCACCCCGTAGCCGGGTGCAGTGAGTGCCTTGGGGCTGGGTGGCCTGTCCTCTGGACGGGCTCAGCCCCGGCGACTCACTAGGGTGCCTGCCCAGACCAATGTCTCCCCCTAATTCCTATCATCCTTCCGGCTCTGCAATGGTCTTGTCAGACCGAAAGGGCCTAACCCAACAAAACAAAACAAACAAGCATGTAGCGCCACGCACCGTGACCGACGCACGTGCACCGTGCCTTCCGCCAGGTGCTGGCACTGAGCGCTGGGATGCTCCCGCAGGGGTTGTGCCACTGCACCAAGCGGATGTAACAAGACCACCGCCGCCTCTGCCGCTCTGGGCCAGAGGTGACGCGACACCGAAGGTGTATTCTGGAGTGTTCCACAACTGTGTCTTCCATTAGTTGGGCGCAATGATGTTCGCGCCCGTGAAAGTCTGAAAATTATTTGATGTGCAGCCTACTCAATGGTACAGCCTGTTATTTCTTTGTGCCTTTGTGTGTAAAACCGAGTGTGTCGCGAGCCAATAAAGTTGGTTCTTTTCTGAATATTGATTTTATTCCAGATGTTTTTTATGTTATACTAATGGGCACAGTTAATTCGATGACACTTCATTTGACTAATATTGTTATTAACATTGTTACCCCCAAAAGAAAACCAAGCCCCGTTTCTTTTCTTTATCCCCCCCAAAAAGCCCTTTTACACAGACGAGCTGAGCGACGAACGGCGCAAAGTCGGTATAATAAACATAACCGGACCGCCTCCTCGGTACACCAGGCATTATTCGGTGTGCCTTGCCAAGGGTGTTTATATTTAATACATAACACTCATTTCATTCGTGTTATTTTTGAAAATATTAACCTCACTTCGTTCGGTTAATATTTTAGGAAGAATAATGCCCTCACTCCGTTCGGGCATTATTCAAAACACCCTTGGATAGGCACACCGAATAATACCTGGTATACCGAGGAGGCGGTCCGATTAAATATATATTAAATGGCCTAAAGTAAATGGCGTACATGTATATATGTATACAAAACAGCGTCAGCAAGGACTATTAGCAAGGGCTGGCCGAGACAGCGACGTGCACGGCCTCGCCTAGCGCTGCCCGCCGGCTGCCGGCACGGACTGCGCCCTGCCCTCCGGCCGTAGCTGTTCGTTGACTCGCTGGAGCCGCTGCCGGGTCACGTGTAGCAGGTCTTCCGTCAGCTCGTCTACGGTCGTGTAGCGCACGCGGCTAGCGTCGAAAATTTCTCGTACGTATGCTTCCATCTCTTCTTTCATACGCTGACAGACGGCACCAAACCGCTGGTCGGGACCGAGCAGGCCCCACGCCAGTACGGGGATCAGGTGCTCTGCCAGCGTGTAAAAGTGCGACTTAAAGCCGTTGGCGAATGTGAGCGACTGCCGTTTGGCCTTCATCACTGACCAGATGGCGGTGTTCAACGCCGACTCCTTGAAGCTGCTGGTGAGCCAGCGGTTCTGCATCACGGCCAGTACGGTCGCCGGCGGAGACTCGAGGTCGTCGAAAGCGTCCAGAATGATGTAGTCGAGCACAATGTCGTAGAAAGTAAAACACTTGACGTTGCGCGCCTGTAGCTCCAGTTTGACGGTAGGCCACACGTTCGGCTGCGCCAAGTACGTCACCATGGCGTCGTAGGCGGCGATGATGTCCTTGGGGTGGCGACCGGCGCGCAGCATGAGGTCCTCGAGAAGCTGCCGGCCGGCACAGACCATCCAGTGGCGCGCGTCCGGACGCAGCAGCAGCCGCTGGTAGCCGAGCCGCAGGCAGTGCAGGCGCGCCACAAACTCCACGTCCGAATTGCAGCCGACGCGTGCCGTGCGCAGTGTCCGGAAAGGAATGCCGTCTGTCTCGTACAGCTCCAGCGCCGACTGGTACAGCGGCCACTCGCCGGCGGCGCCAGCCAGCTCATCCATGTCAGCCGGCTCACCTTCAGCCGAGTGGAACGAGTCCAGCGAGCAGTCGCTGAGGGCACGCCGCGCAACACCACCCAGGTCGGCTGCGCTGTTCGGCACCGGAGTCGCCGACGACGACCGGTACAGCGCCGACTCGTAGAAGAGAAACATGTGCTCGCACTCGGCCTGCAGCCGCCCGGCTGAGTCGAGCAGCCGCTGCAGCTGGGCGCAGAACTCGGCCTCCTGGCGACTGGGCACGGCCTGGCCGCCGTCGGACCGGTAGGCGGCCAGCGCATCCTCCCAGTAGGCGGCGGCCGTCTCCAGCGCCTCCATACCCATCATGCCGAGCTGCTGCGGCGCCAGCGGCCCGCCGTCGGCCAGCCCGGCGCGCAGCGAGCCGGCGCTGGTGGCCGCACTCGGTCGTCGCCGGCGGCGCAGCGAGTCGCCCGGGCTGCACGAGTCGCTGTCGGCGACCGTGGGCCGCGTTGACTTAGCCGGCGCTCGGACGAGGCGCAGCGAGCCTCCTGGCAGCCCGCCGGCCGGCACACGCCGACGGCGCAGGAGCCGGCCTGCCAGCGCCAGCAGCAACGCGCCGCTGCCGCCAGCCAGCAGTGCAAACTTCTGGGAGCGAGACAACACCAGCGCGCTGCCCCAGCTGGACAGGCAAACTTGAATCGGTGACGCAACCGACATGCTCGCCAGGCACTCAAACAGCTGTCTTGAAACCAGTTCGTGCAGAGACCTGCAATGAAATAGTATATAATTTTTCTGGTCCAGTGCAGTGGCGTGGGAACTATTTTCTGGGGAGGGGAGGAAGGGGGGTACTCCTGACATTAATGTTGATATGAACACATCAGGGCCCAATTTCACCAAGTGCGTTAAACTCAATTTGGGGTAAACAACCAACTACCCCATTACGTAACTACAAAAAAACTACCTCAAAGTTCGTTACGTTGCTCACCAAGTGAGCTAGCCGCACTTGGTGAGATTGAGAACCAATCTCACCAAAGCCCTTTTTCACAAATGGCCCGATTTTTGTAGCTACGTAGTGGGGTAGTTTGGTAGTTAAACCCAAATTGAGTTTACCGCACTTGGTGAAATTGGGCCCATACCGTAGTTTCGTGCAACTTTGGCCACCGAGGGCAACTTTGGCCCACGTCTGAAAAAGGATTTGTTTTGCTGTAGCTTTTTACACTTATACCTAGTGCAGGAAAATTGCTGTTATGGTTCGGTAAGACTGCTCATCGGTTACCTTCGGGAACAATCCTGAATTGGTCTTAAGGCCAAGTTGAAGGGCTAGGAGAGGTTAAAACAACCCATGAAAAATTAACGGAAAATTAGGGCATGCTAGGACGGTTAACGGGTACGCCAGTAGTGAACTTGTGGTTTCCAGCTTGTAGTGGTTCAGGTAAGCTCGGAATAAACAAAAATTCAGAATGGTAACTCATTTCGTTAAAATAATAAAATAGGTGGACAGCGTGTTTTGTTTTAGCAACCAAAGGAAGGCGCTACCAGAGCATTATCCGAGTAGCGCCTTCCTTCGGTTGCAAAAACGAAATACTCTCGAGTCTCGAGGTCTATGTCTGTCGGGTCTCGATTTGACGGATCCGCAAAATTCAAACGGCGTTCGAAAGGCCTGTCAAATTTGTCGAAGGAAACCAAATTTCATTGATCTCGGGGTCACCGATGACGTCACAGGTCAGGTCAAAGATGAAATGTTTCACCGTTCACGGGTCTTCTAGGGAATGCGCTATAACACCGAGGAAAACACATTTTGTCGAGAATCAGCGGTAGGGCGTCAGTTGCCTAGTAGATATGTTGCTATTAGAGGTCACTGGCAATACCAGGTCAGGTCACAGGTCAGGTCAACAAGGGTCACAGGTCAGGTCACATGAGCCCAACTTTACTAAGGTTGTGTGATGCATGTTTTATGGCCAATTTTTCATTTCCAACTCCATGGTGTTGGTTATAAGACTATCAGGTACGGCTTAGGTCACTTTCTGGTGAAGTTCAGGTCAAGGTCAGGTCAAGGTCAGGCCACAAATGGTCAAATTTTAAAGTTGATAGTTTTGCATAAAATGGGTATTGATTCGATGCAGCTCGTCACGGGGAGTCTAATGGTGGTCTTTGTTTTGCGCTACGGGGTCTAGAATTGCTAAAAATTGAGTTTGAAAATTTGACGTCATCAATTTTGAACAGTTTTTTTCGCTATAACTTCGCCAAAAAAAGAGGTATCAATCTCAAATTTGGTATGTGGATGGAAGGCGGTAAGGACTATCACATATATTCCGGTTTTTGCGAAATTCAAAAAACTTTTTGGATTTTTCGATTATTATATCCAAAAAAATCTATTTTTTTGATTTTTGGGGGTCAAAATCCAAAAATTTCAAAAATCCGAGATAGCAGTTTTGTAGCCCTGTCCAATCTACAGCTTTTAGGTCTTTATCATTTTTCTGTATTTGCAAAGCTATAGGCCTGACAGCTCTTCCCGCGAAACCCTTTTTTGGGTCGAAAACGGCAGAACATGACGTCACTCTGACGTCATTTCCGGCCAACCTATCATAGCCTTTGGAAAAAATTTTTGGTCACAATATGTAAAATTGATGTCCGGGAGGGTACTGAAAGTTTGGTGACGATCGGCGCAGCGGTTCTGGAGATATATCGAAAAGTCTGGAGGGGGGCAAAAAATAGCCCCCCCCCCACCAGGTCGCGGGTTAAGGGCCCTTTCAACCCAGTCAGTCAAGGGCCCTTTTGACTGCGGACCCCCCCTGAGAGAAATCCTAGATACGCCACTGGGTATAGGATAGGGAAAGTGGGATATAGCGGACCACCGGGGCAAAGCGAACCACCCACCCTGTTGTACGTATTAGCAGTGCTATCCATTTTTTTTTTTTTTTTAGATAGCCATTAGAAGTGCTTCCCATCTACGCACTTTCACCTGCAGCGGCAGCCTGATCCGGGTGAGTTACTTCGCTCTAGAGAAAAAATGTGCTTTTTTGAATTTCCCTTCTTATTTCAGTGTTACAAAAAATGCCATCATAGCTACCATGTTTAGCCTTTATTTTCATGAACGTCTGTGCTTCGGAAATGCATTTGTATGGCTGTAGCTGCGTCGTTGACAGCAATCGTTATTCGCCGCATGTTGTCTGCAATGCGTGATCAAACAAGAAATTTGAAAATGGGGTAAGGCGGACCAGAAAGTTCAGCATAATTCTGGCTACTAGGTGCGTTCAATAAGTAAGTTCCGGAGAGCAATTACATAAAATTCACGCGGTCTACGCATGTGATTTTTTCAGGGATTAGAATTCAGACCTTTATGTCGAAGTGACCGCATTTTCAGCTTCTTATTCCATTTCTGTGACGATATGGAGCAGATCAAATAACACCATTTTTTTTTAGACTGCTTTAGAAATGGCATCGGCCACCCGAGAGGATCAACGTTCAGTGATATGATTCCTAGCTATCCAGGGCTAGCCGGCGGCTAACATCCACGCCAACTTCGTGAATGTGTACGGGAGCCATGCTCTTAGTGATTCCGCAGTTCGGAAGCGGAAGAAAAAGTTTGGGGAGGGGAGGGAGAGCGTGCGCGACCTGGCACGTGCAGGCAGGCTGAGGACGATGGTCACAGCCACTGACGTCGCCAAAGTTGAGGAGGTGGTGATGGCCAACAGAAAGATTACTGTCCAGGCGATAACAGAAACCCTAAACATAAGCCTACGCCAGGATCATTAGAGACCATCTCCTGCCAATAATCGCCAGTTGCCGCCCCGAGAAGACCCGTGGTCGGTTCATCCTCCGCCAGGATTACGCGTCTCCTCACCGTGCCCTCGTGGCGAGGGATGCCCTGCAGGCAGAGGGCATCGAGGTGCTCTAACACCACCCCTACTCTCCAGACGTTGCACGCAGTGACTATTGGCTGTTCGCAGACATGAATAAAAATCTCCGGGGCCGGAGGTTCGGCTCGCGGTCTGCACTCGGGTCTGCTTTTTACCAGTATGGCGAAAAGACCCTCACTCAAAGCTTCCGTGCGGCCATCCGGGACCTGGCCAAGCGATGGGACCGATGTGTTCGCCTGCAGGGCGAGTTCGTCGAGCCGTGAGCCATGTTTGGTTGAGATATGTCAAAAAATAAACGAGTTATATCAAGACGGAACTTACTTATTGAACATACTGGTAAATGGGGCAAAGTGGACCACTTCGCCCCAACGCAGTGGTTCACTTTGCCCCGCGATTTTCAAAATCAGAAACGTGTCTCGTATTATTCACGGTCAAAATCCGTCACTTTATACCAGACGTAGACAAAAATCATCAACAGGAAAGTTAGAGCTAATACATGAATCTTTCTATTAGGCACATTTACTTGGGAATCCCTGCGGCCAATGAAGCGTAGGCTTAGGACATTTCTTAGCTACCCCGCTTTACCCCACCTTCCGCTAGATACGTGAGTATGATAGCTAGGTATATGCTGAATTATCTTTAACCGAAAAGGAGCCCAATCAAGTTTACTTTCTACTTAACAGCACTATCCAATTGTATGTCGATTTGGATCCAGTTGGATGTCTTATTGGATATTCAATCGTATCTAATTGGATGTCTAATTAGACATCCAATCGGATCCAACTGGATGTCTAATTGGATATCCGATCGTATCCAATTGGATGTCTAATTAGATATTCAATCGGATCCAATTGGATGCCTTATTGAATATCTAATCAGATCCAATTACAATTAGATGTTTAATTGGATATCCAATCGGATCCAATTGGATGTCTAATCGGATATACAACTGGATATCCAATTGGATATCCAATTGGATGTCTAATTGGATATCCAATTAGATGTCTAATTGTATGTCCAATTGGATATCCGATTGGATATCCAATCGGATGATCATCTTGAAAATCCGTTAGAAACTCAATCAGGCAATCCATTTGGATCCAATTAGACTTTTTTACTAGGGATAATCTCTTTAACAACGAATTTTTGTGGTACCTGGAAAGTACCAACCCTTAGAATCCTTGCAACTGAAGTATTTTGCTTTTAAAATATTTTAAAAGTTGCAATCCTGGCGATTTACACTATCAAATCGCTTATTTATTTACAAACAAATCAATTTTCAGTTCTAGTAGCCCAATTTTCGACTATGAGGGATCAAATCAGCCTGGCAACTAAATACCTGGCAGCCGGCTTCTGGTTCACGGGCTCGACGCTGCGCGCCCGCCGCCGCCTTAGCAAGACCTTGACCTCCGCCGTCTGCTGCGGCTCCAAAGCCAAGCCAGCGTGGAATTGGGAGAGCTCGGTCACCCGCAGCTGGCAGCTCAGTAATCCAATCTAATCCTAATCCAGGGGCCGGTAAATGGTAGGACATGCCCCCTTTGGGGGTAATGGAGCCCCTCGGCGGGAGGTAATGGGGCCTCTGAGAAAGCCTCATAGAATCACTGGCTCCCTAATGGTTGACACACATGTTATCAAGGTGATACCATTGAAGGGGTAAATAGCTATGTAGGCATATTTTAGTAGTTAATTTAGCCTTTTATGTGGTTTGTTAAGATAACCCTGGCCACAGTGCTTCTTATAATGGTAAATTTGGCACATAGCATTGCCTGGTTTTGTTCAAACAGCAACTTATACCCTGCTGGGTCTTAGCACGACTTTTCAAACTTAATGGCTAGGATGTTAAATTCATTTTGGTTAAAAATGATACCTTCATCTTATTCTCCAGACTTTAAAGGGTATGTAATGA